GGGGGCGCAGCACCTTCTCCAGCTCCTCCATCAGCTTCAGCTGCTGCCGCCGCTCGTACTCCTGGCGCGTGAAGCCCCCGCGGCGGGCCCCCCCCCCCCCCCGGAGCCGCTGTGGCGGGGACGGCGTACCCAAATCGTCATCAGCTTGTTCTGCCCCTCAGGGCCTCTGGTCCCGTCGCACGTCCTTTGGGGGGGCCCAGGGACCCGTCCTTGGCTGGGCCGGGGCCGGGGCTCTGCCCGGGGCGGGTGCCGGGGGGCCTGTCCCGGCGATGCTCTCGAGAGCTAAAATCTGCTTTTGTGATGAAACTTCATTTTGCGCTGCCCTTCCTGCTGGGGACGCCGCTGGAGCCAGGGCATCGCTGGCTTTGGAGCTCCCGGGCTCGGCCACGTCAGCCCGAGGCAGCGCAGGCTCCTCCGATGGTGGGAGGCAGAAAAAGTGATTTACCCCAGCGTGGCCCGGGGAGGGAAGGCTTCAGCTTCAACTTCGGCTTCGGCTCTGGCTTGGGCTTCTCCTCCCCTCTCTTTCGCCGCCCAGCAGAGAAGCTCGTGCTTTGTGGCAAAGACGAAGCCGAAGCGCGTGGGCAGGTCTTGCCCTGGACCGCTGGAAGGAGCGGCTGTCCTGCTGCTCTCCGGAGGACGCCGGCTCCTCTGGGGCTGAGGGCTCTTCTTTCCTGTTAGACTTTGGGAAGAGGAGATAGCCCGGCCTGCAGAGCGTCCTGGGGCTGGGGCTGCTGCTTCGTCTCTGCCCAAGCACAGTCCTCGCTGGGGGCCGAGTGCCCCCTCGTCCACGCCCTCGGCAGCCGTAAGCTCAGCTGTTGTAGCTTAAACCCCGACTTCAGCCTTCCTCATCGCAGGATGAGGTCCGTCTGAGTCGCCAGGGAGGAGACCATGGGGCTGGCATCTTTCCTTGCGCCCTGAAGGACTGCAGGGGCAAAGCAGCAGGGGTGAGGTGACAGCCCCCTGTCCCCTCCAGGCAGGGCACGTTGCGCCCCGTGATTCGCAGGGCCAGGAGGGAGCCAGGGGGCAAGTGGCTCGGCTGGAGGCTGCTGGTCAGGAATAGCCCCCTCCAGAAACAGCCCCCTCCCCGCAGACACGCTGGGAGCAGAGCCCCCCTCGCCCAGGGTGGGGGAGCTCCGTGCTGGGGTCCTGCCTCCTCCCCGCTGCCCTCACTCACCCTCTCTGATGTACGCCATCTCCTCACGCATATCCGCCTGCCGTCCGATGAGCCCTGGGGGGACGCAGCGTGTCGGGGACCCTGCTGCCTGGAGGGGACCCCGCTTGCCCATCGGGGACCCCGCCACCCAGCCCGCCTGGCTGCACAGCTCCCCGGGGAGGGCTGACCCCGGGGTGCAGCATCGCGGAGAGGACGGATGGGCCTGTTTCCAGCCCCACCTGCGCAGGCAGGCGTGAGAGGGGGTCAAGGGGTGCCCCACAGGTCCTGCACCGGGACACAGGGACCCTGAGAGAGGAAGGGACCCCGGAGCTCATGGCTCACCGATGAACCTGACAGCCTCCTGCCGCAGGGGCTCCTGCGGGCTCCGCAGGTAAGGCTGGCTCTGGCGCAGGTAGTCCTTGGCCTTCCTCCTGTTCCTGGCCAGCTGGAGAGAGGAGAAGGGCGCAGGGTTGGCACAGAGCTGCCCCCCAGTTGGCCCGTCCCCCCACCCAGGGCTACCCTCCTTCCCCCCAGCACGACATTCCCAGCTTCCTGCCATGTGGCATCGGGGTTCAGAGGGAGCAGAGAGAGGGCTCCCCAGGGATGCTGGGGTGCCATCCTGGTGGCAGGGTCCCCTTTGGGACCCCAGGGGAGAGGACAGCCTGGAGCAGGGCCTGCTCCGGGAGGGTCCGCACTGGGCATGGGGCAGGGTTCGTCCAGGTCGGATCCCGGCGGCATTGGGGCTGTGCTTACCAGGCACTCGCTGATCCACCAGGCCTGCGTGATCTCGGCCAGCTGCGCCAGCTGCCTCCACTTCAGGAACTGGCCAGCGCTGCGGAGGGCTTCAAGGGAGGCCTGGTGAGCAGCAGAGAGATGCCACCACCACCACTCGGGTCACAGGACCCTGTGTCCCCGCTCTTGGCAGGGCTCAGAGCCTGTCCCTGCCCGTGCAGGGAAGACACACCAGCGGGGGACTGATGCTGCCACCAGGTTCAGCACCCCAGGGTGCTGAAGATAAGCGCAGCCACCCTCTCTGGCTGGAAGCCTGTTGGGGCTTCAAGCTTTTGGCCCCAGCATGCTGCGGAGCCATAACCCAGTCTCTGAGGCTGCAGGGACCGACGCCAGGGGCTGTGTGGAGGGAGCTGGGTGGGAAAGGGACCCACCTCCCCATCCACCCAGGTAGCAGGAGGAAAAAGACAGCAGTGGGCAGGCAGGTGGGCCCTGCCTGGTCCTAGGGACTCGGCAAGCTAAACCTCATGGTGACACACATTTGAAGGGTCCAGTGTCAGCATTGCCCTGCCCAAAGGACCGGTCAGGTTGGGATCCCACCTTAGCCACACTCTTGTCCTGGTCGTGCAGGTGAAAGAGCAGCGGCAGTACGCTGTCCCACACCTCCGTCTTCATCTTCTTCTTTTCGGCACCCACCACGAGCCCCATCGTGGTTTGGAAGAGACGGATGGAGAGCTCCCGCACGGTGCCTGACTCCTGGGGGAGGAGGGGAGGAGGAGCTCAGCCCCAAGCCCATGGCGAGCATGGGGCTGACATGGAGATGGATGTCCCCAAAACAGCGGCAGGCAACCCTGTTCCAAAAGGCAGCGAGCTGCGGCATGCAGAAGGTCTGCTCAGGGGGCTGGGGTCCCCGGGGCTGGGGTCCGGAGAGGGAGACCCTGCGGAGGGCTGGGGGATGCTGCCAGGGCAGGGTGCGCGTTGGTGGGGCTCAGCACGCCTGCTGCCATCCTGCCGCCACCGTCCCCACCGCGGCAGGGAGGCCGAGCCGGGGTGAGTCCATGCCGGGGGTTTGGGACGCAGCACGGAGCCACCGAGGGCAGCGATGGGGTCTGGGGGCTGTGGGGCAAAGCGTCCCCCTGCAGAGCACGGGGGCTGCAGCGGGAGGCGTGAATGGAGGTGTCGGGTGAAGGGGGCACGGAGCTGTCCCCCAGCCTTACGTTGCTGAAGAGCGGCTGGAGCTTGCCAGCTAGTGCCAGGGCGGTGAGGCTGGGCATCTTCCCCTCCAGCAGCTGGAGCATGTGGCTGAGCACGGACAGGGCCACGGCGCTGGCATCACTGTCGGCATCCTGCAGCTGCTCCATGATGTGCGGCAGCAGGACAAGGGTTCTCTTTGCCTGCGTGAGACACGCCACCTCCTTTTTGTAAAGCAGTGACCAATCGCAGGGGTGAAAACCCTCTCCGCGAACACTGGCCTCCCCGCTGGCTTCTCAGCAGGCAGCGTGGGTTACGAGGGCAAGGTCCCAGCAGACAGGGCTTACCGGCATGGCCATGGGAAGAGCAGGGCGCAGAGGGGGAGGACAGACAGCGCTGGCTCCTTGCCAGCCCTCGGCTGCCCCCTTCTCCACCAGACCCCTT